GTTATAACTTTAGGTGCTGTGATGAGATCTCTGGCGATCCTCGCACTCTTTGTGGTGGTTGTTTACTTTCTGTGTCAGAAACTACAGACTGGCTGTAAATGCAGAAAAAGTGATGATGATGCTGTTTAAAATGAACTGTCGCCTTTGACTTCCTGATGAAGAGTAAAGCACATCAGCTGTACTGAGAGGGAAGTTCATGTTTAGCTTTGTTAAACTGCTCTGCTGCGTTTCTACAGTAAACATTATTTAGCATACAGTTATAGTCAGCCATGTTTGTAGTTTTCTTTGGTCTTCTCTGTCTTTATTTGTCCTTGTTGTCTTATTTTGGTAATCAAATTTTTTTCACTTCCTGTCTTTATCTATTTTTACTTTGTTCAGTTAGTTTTGCTTCTTTATTTCTGTGTATTTATACTTCTTTATGTATTTCTCTGGTATTAGTGTGTTTTCCCACATATGCCCGTCATTCCTGCCCTCTTATTTATCTGGTCAGGATTCTGGGCTTTCCTGTGTTTTGCTTTAAGAACTAAAAGCTCTGCTTTGGTTCATCATCCCTGTCTCACTGCTCCTGCATTTTAAACGCTGTGACGAGGCAGAAAAAGGTGGAAATATTCAGATGTTGTGTGCTCAACCTGCACGAGCGTCAGCTTTCGTCCCGCAGACAGAGAGCTGAGATGACGATGATGATGGTGAAATGTTTTGTCCTGCAGTTGTGGCACATGTTGATTGTACAGTGGAGGCTTTGCTGCTCGGCTGGTGACCACACCGTCACATTATCTCTGTTATGTGAGCTGTTCTGTAATAAATGTGTTTATTTGTCTCTGTCACTGCGGGTGAAACTTCCAGACAAAGATTTTCATTCCTGAATCCTCACAGAGGTGGAAGCGCCAATATTAAGAGGCATTTTTTATGTTTTGCTTTGTAAAGCTTGCCACCACGAGGGGGCATGCTGTCCCAGTGAAAGCATGACTGCTGACAAAGGTTACCAGTACACCCTCTGCACTGGTCCCTCTGCATGCCGCTGCAGCATCACCACACAGTCACTTCTGTTTATGCCAGTTGTTAAAGAGCAGGAAGCTGCTGCAGTATTCTGCTGATGATAGATGATATTGCCACAGCTCAGCTATCACACAGACTCCAGGTTTACAGCAGAGGCTCATTTATGACTGCGCAGCCTCTCTGGGTGAGTCCTGAGCTCCAGAATTCAGATCTCAGCCTCCGAGAGCCCAAAAAGCCTCATCAGCTACCAACAAAACAGTTCGTTCTCATATCAGAAACACTTTGATTTTCTCTCTAAAAACAGCGAAGCAGTTCAGATCAATGAGCCGGAGCTGCAGGAGGATCAATGTCTTTCATGCAATAACAAACTCTGTTGGACGTTGCCTGGACTGTGTGGGGTCTGAGGACCGAGACTCAGGCGTGTAGGATCTCTGATCTACAGAAGACCGAAAGAAAGACTCCACGAAAGTCGCTTTGTGCTCACATGCATGTTCCTGCTCTGCATTAAAATACCCGTCGTCTATTACTGAGGCGCAGAAACATGCAGGGCTCAGCTGTAAACATGTGAGGGGAGGACTCGGTGAAGTTTGCATTAACATTAACTCTCATACGCTAAACATTCAAACTTCTCCTGTGTGTCTGTGCTGTGTATTCTGAAGATGCATACCACCTTAAAAGGCGGTCGCCTGAAAGTCACATCAGCATCTGAAATGTGTTAGTCACAGTTACAGAGTTCAGTTTGTGCGCTCAGTGTTTCTCAACCTGCTGTGTCTGATAACTTTATTCATTTTATTCACTTCCTGTTTTACTCTGATGGTTAGTTTTCTGTCTTTGTCATGCGGCTTTACTTCATTTAGCTTTGAAAAACTGCTTCATTTTCATTTAAATATCATTTATTACATCATCATGGTCCGCCATGTTTGTAGTTTTTTTTGGATCATTTCTTATTTGTTTTTAAAGAGTTTTTGTGTCTTCTGTGTCTCTGTCAGTGGAAATACTATAGAAAATATGACCAAGAGGAAGTAGGTACACAGATTTACACACTGGAAAGACTCCAAGACTTCAGAGCCCCACAGGGGACATGGGAGAAAAAAAATTAAGACGGACTTTTGCGAGATCTCGCAAAAGTTTTGCGGGATCCCGAGTTAGTTTTGCGAGATCTCGCAAAACTTTTGCAGGATCTCGCAAAAGCTAACGGGAGGTCGAGACCTACTACAGCCGGGAGGAACACCGCTTTCCCGGCACATCGTGCCTCGACCTCCCGGTCGGCTTCGAGCCGGCGTCTGAAGAATGCGGCTAAAACTTTTGCGAGATCCTGCAAAAGTTTTGCGAGATCCTAAGGTTGTTTTGCGAGATCTCGCAAAAGATTCGTCTTAATTTTTTTTTCTCCCATGTCCCCTGTGGGGCTCCATACAAGACAGATCCTCAGCGAATGCTGGAAGTAACTGGAAATGACGAGAATTTGACTTTTTAAGTGAATGAGCCGAGTTTGGTACGAGAGATAAGATTTAAACCAGTTTAAGGGTGTGTCAATAATTCCACTTGAAGCTCGTCTGCTCTAAGATGTTATGAGATGTAGTTTCAAAGGCTGCACTCAGACCAAGCAGGTTAACAACCCCAGCTGCACGTCACCCAAAATGGTTGGCCATTAAAATCAGGCTATTAGTCTTTCATTTGGGATAATTTAAGGGCGTCCCACAGGCAACAATGCCGCCACCCAATCGGTGTGAGAAGCAGCTATGAGGAAGACAAATGTGCACCATCAACATGTGGATCCTGCAGGTGAAGAAGAAGAAAACTCTTTCCAGAGTTCGGCTGTAACCCATGGTTGTGACCAGCCATGGGGTCGTGACTCACTGGATCAACCTGCCACCAACCAGCACAAACTGTGGTGTATTTGTGCTGCATCAGGGCGAAGCAGCTGACCGTCAAAGTCGTTCACATGGTTGTAAGCATCAGGAGGATTTTACTGACAAAATGTCAGCGTGTGACGCACTGGGATGAGAACATGCCAGTTCAGTGCGACCACACAGGGAGCTGACTTCCTTTTCACAAATGGTTTCATGACGAGATTCACCGCACTCCCTGCAGGGAATCACTGCCAGCGCAGAAAAGAGGAAAAAGATCTCTGCCAATTTTTTTCTTTCACTTCTGTACCAATCTGAGAACATGAAGCCATCAGCTGGCTTTCTGCTGCTGGCAGTGCTGCTCTTAGCCGCAGTGAGGTTCGCTCAGGCCCGGATTATACACTCGTACTTCAAGCTTGGCAGCACGCTGGTCCTCAAACCTGCCTCGGTCTCTGCTCGCATCACCAGCGTCGTGTGGAAGTGGGACGGAGAACTGTTGGCCGAATGGGTGGAAGATGTGATTCCCCTGACATATTACGGCAGGTTTGGAGGCCGATCAGAGGTGAACACGAACACGGGAGTGTTGGAGATCAGGAACATGACTGCAGCTGACACTGGGGTGTATTCGGTGGAGATCAACAACCAGCCCCAGAGTCAGACTCATCAGGCCGTGAGGATCAGAGAAGTGCCCCAGCCTGAGGTCACGGTGAGGCCGCCGATGTGTGGCTCGAGTTTGGAGAACTGCACACTGAGCTGTGACGGAGACGTTAAAGAGGCCGAACCTGTCGAGTATTTCTGGAAGATCGGAGATGGAGAGTGGGAACAGTCGGGGAAAATCATGGAGATCATCAATTGGGAGGAAACACAGTGTGTGAAGATGTTTTCCTGCAGGATGAAGAACCCAGTGAGTGAGCGACGCAGCGAATCCATCACTAACCCGTTTCACCAGGACGGAAATCTGGACTACAGATGGTGGATCCTCACTCTTGTAGGCGCTGCCGTCCTGGCGGTGGTTGCGGTGTTTGTCTGCTTTTTGTTTCAGAAACTGTAAAAGAAAAACTGCTGACAGCGATGAAAATGCACTTTAAGTCCTGATGAAGACTGAAGCCCGTCAAAGGGCAGCTCATTCCTTTGCTTTGTAAAACTGTTCTGCACTTCAGACTGGTCGTCCATGTTTGTAGTTCTTTTTTCTTTGGGATTTCTTTGCTTCACTGTCTACTTCGGTGTATTTATAGCTTTAAATGTATTATCTATTTATCATTCTTATTTTTATTTGATCTGTTTCTGTTTTCTTTGATTTCTTTGTAAGGTTGAACTCAAAGTAACATTAAAATCTTGTCTTGTTCAACATCTCTGGCTGCACTGTCTTACATTTGAAACTCTTTCCTGTTTTGTCACGGTCCCGGCCGTCTGGGTTTTCTTTCCTTCTCGCTGTCTGTTTTCTCTCAGGTCGAGCTGTGGGCCGGCTGTTCTCGCTGGGCGGAGCTTCAGTCTCATCTCCTGTCAGTGAGCAGTATTTAAAGTCAGCCTCTGTGGTGGTAATTGGCTCTTTTATGCCTTTACTGTGTGTTGGAGTCGTTCTTTGTTTGTGGCTGAAGGACCCAGCACCTGGTTGTTACCTGTCCACAGCCTGCACGCTCTCTGCTGCTTTCCTGCTCAGCAGCACCAGTCCGCAGGTCAATGGAAGAAGATCAGACAGTCAAGCGAGACGTCAAAACAAACCTCTTCACCAAGGTCAGTGTAAAGCACTCGCCACTAATTCCTGTTTCCTGCCTGGCAGAGCTCCTGTAAACAGACACTCACCTGTGCAGTTACCTGTGTTGGTCTTTCCTACATATCCTGTAACTAAAGCTCTCAGACCTGCTGTCAGTGTGCAGGTTTGCTCTTTCCAGTCCAAGCACTGGTTTATTCAAACACTGCTGTGGGTTTTTGTATGAGCCAGACAAAGATGTTGAACATCTGCTGAAGCTTCAGAGTTTCAGTCTGGCTCCATTTTTGTGACAGAGGTGGACGTTCTCTGCACAGAGCTGAGATTTAAACAGTTTAACATGTTAATCGTACGTTGGATGGTTTTCTGCTTGGACACAAACGACACACCACAGGGCATGTAAGGAGACGTAGGCGGGCTCTGACTGGACGCTGGATGAAAATGACCATTTTGAACTGGGCGCTGATTTCCTCGGGTTAAATGCTTCAACTAACAATATGAAGCGCCTGGTTGTGATTTGCAGCTATATAAATATAATACAACTGAATAAATGTCCACAGAACAGGTTGTACACTGACATGCACAGTGACATGAATAAAAAAGCGTTACATTTCGTTTCAAACGGGACCGCAGCAGAGACATTAATCAGCTCACAGCAAACTACGAGAAATGGGGCCACTGACTGTGAGTGCAGAACGAACCCAGCTGCACGATCTGACATCAGGGTGAGGTTTTAAAGTCTGACCTGCAGAGCTGATTGCTGCAGATGCACTGAGCTACTGCTAGCTGAATATTTCCCATAAGCAGGATTGTTACAACAATAATTTATCAGAACTTGAGTGTTTACGTGTTTCATGATCAAACTGTGACTTTTACTTTGTGGAAGTACAGCAGTGGAGTTCACCTGAGGAGACACTGCGACCTGCTCCAGTCCGGCTAAGATTCGAACTACAGACCTTGTTGCTATGATGTCACAGTGTTAAACCCAGCATACGCCAGTTCTCTCTGTGTTAGCTTCATTTTAATAGGAATGAATATAATTCTGCTCACTAAGAGTGTATTTTCTAGATAAACAGATTCTTTATTGATCCCATAAGTAAAGTTGTTGTGTTACAGCAGCATGATAAAGAATAAAAATAGTAGAGTCTACAGTAAGAGTCTTATACTGTGAGACAGAACAGCTGATCTCAGCCGAACCACCTGCACCTGGCTAAGCGAGTAAAGACAACTACTAACAAGCAGCAGAGTAATCTGGGAGCTGTAGTTCTTTAAAGACCAAACAATGACATCCAGACGGCATCTGAAGAAATCACAAAGTGTGACGTCTGTGGATGTGAACACGCTGCTTCAATAGGGCCGACTTCCTTTTTCATTGCTTTCACCATAAGCTCACCACACTCACTGAAGGAAACCACAAAGTGTTCAAAAGAAGAAAAGCTTTAAGATCTCTGAAGAGAGACTTTTCTGTTTCTTCTGCACTGATCTGCGAACACGTCGGCTGCCTTTCAGCTCCTGGCACTGCTGCTCTCAGCTGCACTCGGCTTTGCTCTCTAAGCCGTATCTCACTAGGAGCATGAATGACGCCCAGCTGTGAGGTTACAGAGGTGCAGACTGTGCACCTCGCTGTCACTCAGTGGCACTGCTCGTCACCAGGCAAGGCAGGCAATGGCTTAAATCTTTAGACTGCAGCAGTTTGCAGTGACGATACTGGAGGGAAACATTAACTGTAAGGATTAGTAAGAAGCAAGTGAGGGCAGCTATGAAGAGGATGAAAAAACATGGAAACCTGTGCAGGTGCAGAGACGTCTAGAAAAGAGACTTTTAAACCGGACTGCTTAACACAATCCTGCAGAATGAGAGGATGCCTGAGCAATGGAGAAGAAGTGTACTGGTACTGACTGTCAAGAACAGTGATGAGCAGAGCAGAGAAACGTGAAGGTGGAGCAGGACATGTACGAGGTGTGAACAATGCTCCCTCAAATTCTTCTTGTCTGAGCGAACACACAAACTCCCTGAGCGTCCCTAGGTCCACTGTGAGCGACAGCAGACGTGTGCACTGTGGTCACGCCAGCATCGAATCCATCCAAGTTACATGTTTATTAAAATAATCAAATTACAGCATTTATGTTAGACGACTTTTAATTAACTGCTTTAGCCCCACTTACAATGAAAATGTAAACAAATCTT